CTAACAATGTTGATGATTATAATGTACAGCCAGCATATAGGAAACTCTTACAGCTCTAACAATGTTGATGATTATAATGTACAGCCAGCATATAGGAAACTCTTACAGCTCTAACAATGTTGATGATTATAATGTACAGCCAGCATATAGGAAACTCTTACAGCTCTAACAATGTTGATGAAAAATTGCTTCATGTTGATAGGATAAGTTTGAGAATTAACTTTTAAACATCAGGACTGATTTAATATTTTAAGTTGTATTTGGCTAAGAAGTAAAGAGAAGATTATAGAGAACCTTTTGTGTACATTTTAGACAAACCAGTATTGAGTGGGAAGTGGTGTTGAAGACTTGTATTTGAAAGATTAAAATGAAACAAGATATAAATATTTTAAAAACACTTTATTATTGTTAATTAAAACAAAATAAATAAAAACACGAATATCAGTTTTGTATCTTCAAAGTAGTTTCTAAAATATTACATACTCTGATAAGAGCTACTTAACAATGAAAAACATCCTGCATTTTTTACCTTAAAACTTTATATATAATTTTTAAACTCTTTTTGTGTGTTAAACTGTAACATTTAATGTGGTTTTAAATTTATTAATAATGATAATAGAGAGGCAGACAGTTACTCATTCCCATTGTCTTTGGAAACTTTGTATGGCCATCAGATTTGATAAGCTCAATCTTACTAGAGCCTGGTGAGATTATTTAAAGAAATCATGATTAATTTAAAACTGGTAGCAGTATTGAACCATAGTGTAGTTGCCTAAAATTTTAGGAAAATCTTAAAACTACAAGTTTAAATAAAACATTTTATTTAACTTAATAATGAGCCACTTAAGACTACCATTTATATCTGTCTGGGTTGTAAGTTGTAACTCTCAAGTTGTAACTTAAGACTACAATTTATACTTGTCTGGGTTGGAAGTTGTAACTTAAGACTACCATTTATATCTGTCTGGATTGTAAGTTGTAACTTGATACTACAATTTATACTTGTCTGGGTTTGAAGTTGTAACTTAAGACTACCATTTATACCTGTCTGGATTGTAAGTTGTAACTTAAGACTACAATTTATACTTGTCTGGGTTGGAAGTTGTAACTTAAGACTACTATTTATACCTGTCTGGGTTGGAAGTTGTCATGCTGTAATTAATTATTATACCTGCCTGAGTTGGAAGTTGTCATGCAGTAATTTGTTATTACACCTGCTTGGGTTGGAAGTTGCCATGCTGTAATTTATTACATCTGCACGAGTTGGAAGTTGTCATGCTGTAATTAATTATTATACCTGCCTTGATTGGAAGTTGTCATGCTGTAATTAATTATTATACCTGCCTGGATGGAAAGTTGTCATGCTGTAATTAATTATTATGCCTGTCTGGGTTGGAAGTTGTCATGCTGTAAT